ACCGGCCGTCGTCCCGCCCCGCGCGGTAAGGGGAGCGGGTGGAACCGGCCGTCGTCCCGCCCCGCGCGGTAAGGGGAGCGGGTGAAACCGGCCGTCGCCCCGCCCCGCGCCTCCTGCTTCCGCAGCTCCGCTGTGTCATGTGACCTTGATGTTCACACAGATAAGGTAGTTGCTTAATCCCAGGCTGCTGACTCGTCTCCGGCTGCTTGTCCCAGTCTGATATGCAGCATTGATTTGGTCGAACTTTTGCTCTCTGTACACAACAAAGGATCCATTGGCCTCTGTGGCAGATGGATGATACTGTCCATGTCCTTTTAGCACCGTGCGTGCGTGTGTGCGTGCTTTAAAGATGGTGCTAAAGAACTGCACAAGAGATATGCGAGTTGTTCACTTTGCGACTTTGATTTTGCTCCTGTGAAATTTGCCTCAAGCTGAGAGCTCGAGGATGAACAGCCCAAATAATCACTCCCATGGGGTCCCGTAGAACAGGATGGACCAATTCATCCCTGTGATTGTAATTAAGCACCTCCCCCCCACTGCCGTGATCGATCAGTTGATTAATTGTATGATGCGAAATGCACTAAACCTTTGACTCACTTTTTCTATTTAGAACCCTGTCTGTCTTAAGACAGTATGATGTAATCCCATCACATGAATATTTAGCTTTCTGCAGTGCTTGTAACTCTTTAGTATGTTCATTATTAACCTAGACTTGTGAGCCCTTGTATGTTTTTGTTTCACAGTGAACCATTGTACATTTTGAATCTTTTTCTGATCATAATACAATATTAAGCAGTGGAGACCCACAACTTAATTTAAATTTAATGTTGTCCAAGTAAGTTCAACTGGACCAAATCCCGGTACAACCTTGAGCACACGAGCTCCATGGAATTTTAGCAGAGTTTTGTATGATATTGAGATGTATGAAATGGATGGTAGGCGCCCTACACAGAGGGTTGTGGTGCAGCAGCCGGTTTGACTGACAGTCAGTGAAATAAGCAGTGTTGCTGCTTGCTTATCTTTAGAATAAGATCTACACCTGCTGTCTGAGACTTCAGCTTCCTTCTGAGATCCCTTGTTTCTGCTGCCTGTTGGTCTGCAGTAACCGTTTCCTTTTTACTTTCCAACTCAGCTGTGTTGACAAATATTGCCTCAGCCCAGAAGTGCTGAAAGTCGTTTTCTCAGTAGGTTTTAAGCATTTATTAGGCTCCCACGTAACCCGCCTCAGCGCCCCACCAGCTCACTGTCTGCTGTTGGCTGCTCTTGAGTGTCTTGGCCTAACTAGCTGCTCCTTGTGTCGCTATACAGACAGTCCCCGGGTTGAGATCACCTGACTTACGGACAGGGCTGGGTACCCAACTTCCCTACTTTTGTGGTACCGACTGAAATGCTCCAATCCGATCGAGGATCGAAAAATTGATATTCTTTCAGTGTCAAATTCTGATACCGAAACAGTAAATCACAGCATCTGCAAGCAAATAATCATCTGAAGTCGATGGTGATTGGCTGTCTAATGTAATGTCACACAAAGTATTTTGTTTTAAATTCGGGAGTTTAGAGCAGCACAAATATAAGCAGGACTCGACAAATGGATGCTTTTGTTTTTTTGCTGTTTCACTTAAGTGATTGAACAATTGAATGTTGCGGGTTGGGAAGTCAGTACATGCAACATCCAAACCTGTGTGTGGCCTGTCGCTCTGGGGCTGTGATTGTGGAGCGGCTCAGACGGCAGCTGACGAGTATAAACGCTGGCGACAATCGGCCACCTGCATGGGCCCACGGGGTCGGCTTTAGTCAGCCTTTAGATATTAAGGGGTTATGGCTCACGCTCTCAGCCCCCATACAGGAGGCATAAGACACATTTTTACTTAGTCAGAGATGCTCATTATGGGAAAATAATGAAGCAGATGACAGCGAAAAGGTGGGAAAGGCCAAACACAGCTGGTTACCGTGGTTTTGCTCTTTGCTGCAGTTACTTAATTGGTTCAGAACTCCAGGCTTGCTTTGGAAAAACACGCCTTTCACGTGGTAAACGATACAAGTGACTGTCGATGATGATGATGTTGCTATCGATGATGATGATGATGAGGTTGATGATATTAGACTGGAAAGAAGATGAATCCCGAGAGCGCTGCCGTGTGTTCACAGGTACATGGCCCCCGAGGTCCTGGATGACTCTATCAACATGAAGCACTTCGAGTCGTTCAAGAGAGCCGACATCTACGCCATGGGCCTGGTGTTCTGGGAGATCGCCCGCCGCTGCTCCATCGGAGGTGCCCGCCTCCTCCTCGCCCTCCGCTCTTCGTTATCGCTGCGTCGGCCTCTCTGCTTTTTCACGAACGTCTTCCGCCCGATTCTCAGGCATTCACGAAGACTACCAGCTGCCCTACTACGACCTGGTGCAGTCGGACCCCTCGGTGGAGGAAATGAGGAAGGTGGTCTGTGACCAGAAGCTGCGGCCCAACATCCCCAACAGGTGGCAGAGCTGTGAGGTGAGTGTCCTGCCCGTCAGCGCCCCGGCGCCCCCTAAAGAGCAGTGCCCCGCCGCCCCCTGGAGAGCAGCGCCCCGGCGCCCCCTAAAGAGCAGCGCCCCGGCGCCCCCTAAAGAGCAGCGCCCCGCCGCCCCCTAAAGAGCAGCGCCCCCTGGAGAGCAGCGCCCCGGCGTCCCTGAAAGAGCAACGCCCCGGCGCCCCCTAATGAGCAGCGCCCCGCCGCCTCCTAAAGAGCAGTGCCACGGCCGCGGGCCCCAGGAGCCGAGCCGGCCGGGCCCCGGAACACGTGCCCCAGGCTCACCCACCTCCTCTTATCGACAGCCCATTATCCTGTGGAATCAGCGACGACATTAGAGCTAATTTGCGGACATAAAACTCCATAATCTAATCTTCCACTGTGAGATTACAATAGCAGCCTGTCTGCTTAAGCACAAGCACTGTTTGATGACTCTGAAGACCTGAGTGTTAAGAGGATGCGGTCTGTCCCCCCCGTTTCACCCCTCTCTGTGTATCTCTTGTGGAAACTGCTGTGGAAAATCACCGAATCGAATGGACTCAACGCTTAATTCGATACGGGGGAACAATCAGAGAGAGTAACTTGCACTGCAGTTGCTATGCCAGGCCTGCGGGGGCGTCGCTGCTCACGGAGATTTTGTCAGAGCTGCTGACTTTGGTGTTTCATTGAGGGACGGGGACATTGAAATGTATCAGTCTGTGCAAATCCCGTCATGCTTTAAGATGCACAGACACAGAGCTGAGAGTCAGGCTGGCCGCCTGAGTGCTGGCCCATCCGTCCGGATCCCCTGGACGAATCAGTCACTCGCTGGCTCCCCCCGACCGCCCATCTGGGCCAGACGCCCCCCAGCCGGAGAGCGGAGCAGGGAGCGGCTCTGCCTGGATCCGAGAGCCGCTTCTGCTTACCGCGTGCCGCCGCTGGGCCGTTCAGGATTTTTGCGTGTCTCGTCTTGTCGCTCTGATGCTGCTGCTCTGTCACTAGCGAGATAAAACACCAGCTACACGTCCGAACCGCTCTCCCGCTCTCTTAGGCCGGCTGCTGCTCTGTCACTAGCGGGATAAAACACCAGCTACACGTCCGAACCGCTCTCCCGCTCTCTAAGGCCGGCTGCTGCACTCGCATTCCGGCTTTGATCAGCCGCCTTTTGTTTAGTGACGGTTGCTACATTTGCTTTTTTCACTTATCGATGCTTGAATTTTTATTTTAGTAATAATTTGAATTAAGATGATAACATTTAAGATGTTTTAGCCTCCGTTTGCTATGTAGGGCAGCATTTCCCAACTCTGTTCTCTGGGGGACCCACAGACATTTTTGCTCCCTCCCCCTGTCAGGTGGTCTACCCTACTGGAGCTGCGAGGGAGCAAAAATGTCTGTGGGTCCCCAAGGACCAGCTTGGAAAATGCTGATGTAGAGTGTATTGTACATTGTCTTAAGGTGTGGCGCCGCTGGTTGGTCTATGTGTGAGTGTGATTGCGTGTCCTGTGCCCCCCAGGCCCTGTGCACGGCGCCGCTGGTTGGTGTATGTGTGAGTGTGATTGCGTGTCCTGTGCCCCCCAGGCCCTGCGCGTTATGGCCAAGATCATGAGGGAGTGCTGGTATGCCAGCGGAGCTGCCCGCCTCACCGCCCTGCGCATCAAGAAGTCGCTGTCCCAGCTCAGCCAGCAGGAGGGCATCAAGATGTAGAGCCGCCCCCCCCCACAGCCTGCTGTCTTTCCCTTCCTTCAGTCCCAGCGCCGCCCCCTTCTCCCTGTCATTTCACGCCTGAGAGGATGCTAGTTCTACCTCGCCGAGGTGACAGCAGGTCGCATCCCACAGCGCCCCCTGCTGGGTCTGCATAGGACCATAGTGCCCTGTTGAACTCCGCGCTGAGACGCCACCCGGCCCCCCACCCCCCCGATGAACATACACAGGGCAGCCCAGTCAAACTGGGAGATGGAGAAGCAGGAAAGGCCTGCTCGTAACATCGGAGGGATTTGGGGGGGGGGGGAAGCTCAGACAGAAGCTCAGAGCTGTATTACCTACGAATGAAATGAACCAGATGATGTTGTTTTAAATCTCTTTATTATCAGGTACCCTGAATAAGCATTTCTCCTTCCTGTCTCTGCCTGGGAGAGAGGGGGGGTCCATATTTAGTCACTCCCCCTCTTTCTTGTTAATTTAACAGATGACTATTTCTTACAATTGTTTTTTCATACAAAACTGGACATGACCTCATTCAGTCTTGGCAAACATGCTATGACATATGCAATATTATACAGTATGTGTGTGTGTGTGTGTGCGTGCATGTCATGTATACATGCCTGTCTGTCACGCATGTACACATCCATGTGGACACACACTCACACACGTACACGTACATATGCACGCATATACGCCGGTATATTTATATATATATAGTTACTGCAGTCTCAGTACGACCATGCCTTCCAAACCAGGTGTTACCAGAAAGTGCCACCGCTGTGAATGGGTCCCGTCCGGCTGTAGCCTATCAGTGCGAGGGGCCTGCACACACGCTCGTGTCGGTCACGGGAGACCCCGGGGGTCGGGTGGCTGGGAGCAGGACGGGGCCACAAACCGCAGCCCCAGACAGCTGCCCGGGACACTTCAGGGTCCTGATCTCTTCTGTTCGTACACGTTCATACACACACACACACAGTGCCTGCGCACACACACAGGGAAGCATTAACTCCTTCTCCCTCCTCACACACTCTGCGCTCTCTCCTTCCTCTCTTTCACACCGTCTGTCTCCGCACACGTGTGTATCCATGGCCTGGCAGGTTTTATTCAAATATAGCAAGTGGACATTTTACTAAGCCATAGGTTTGTCAGCATTTTGTGGCAATTTTTCTATAAGAATGTACATTTCAAAATTGCTGTTACAAAGGGACTGCTTCACAGTGAATCTGAGCATGTCTTACGGGACCAATATTGGTTTGATCTAGTTAATCATTATCGAAAGGTAAAGAGCAGGTTTTGGCCAGATGCAGTGAATCCTGTTCAATACATCTCCATATTACCACACAACTTGTATGCTGATAGGTGCAGTGGAAGATTTGTCATTTTGATTGTTTTGCAAAATAATTTATTTCTATATAATGTTGTATTCAAACATATATATGTATTTACTCAGACTACGTGTTTGTGTCATGTATGTGACTTGGACAATGCTAATTTCTTTTAATCATGACTCTGTTCTGCTCCTGGTCTCCATAGCAATAAGTGCAGTTTTCCGCGAGCCCGTTGCAGCTGGCGTGTGTGGTAATGTGGTGTGGTGCAGACTGAGGTGTGAGGCGCTTTCCGCCCAGCGGTCTGACCCAGTGCTGCAGCAGTCTTCCCTACAGCCCTGTGGCGGGTCATTCTCGAAATGGGAGGGGGCGGCGCCCTCTGAGATTGGATAGGAGGGGCACAAAACTGTGAGATGCAGGTTCACCTCTGGGTGTAAAGCACAACACATGCCAGTACCTCTCACCAGCCCATAACTCTGACCCAAAATGGGCGCCGGTTTGTCCTGTTTTGACCAAAAACAACTTGCCCTAGGAATATAATGTGCCATGCAAACAGTATGTGATTGTATCCTATTAAATGTTAATACTGTAAATTGTTCATGTACATTTAAAGAGAAGTTGTGCATAGGAACTTGTGTGTATCAGAGCAGTTCAAACTGCACATCTTGACAGCATTTGGCATTTCAACGGGAATCTGTAGGAAGTACGCAAAGGAAATGGAATTAGGCATTGCTGCTATAAAAATACACCATGAACAATGGGAATAAAAATGGCAGGATTGCAGAGAGAAAGCCAGTAGCAAAGTAGGACACATTCTCTGGGACAAAGCATTTTGTTGGTGTTATGGTGACACGGTCATCGTGACCTGGTCATTTTGTTGGTGTTATGGTGACACGGTCATCGTGACCTGGTCATTTTGTTGGTGTTATGGTGACACGGTCATCGTGACCTGGTCATTTTGTTGGTGTTATGGTGACACGGTCATCGTGACCTGGTCATTTTGTTG